TCATCTTTCTCCCGCGGAGCGGCTGGTAGTTTTGAACCGCTGACCTTAAGGTTCGCAGCCCGATTCGTAACCACTACGCTACCAGAGCTCCTTATTGTTTAGGGAATGCTAAATTAAAGGCATATTATAGAAACCCTTAACTTCTCTCCCTTCATGCCATGTTACACTTTTATCATATTCAGGGAATAATCTCTAGACTAGTACCATGAAGAATGTGTTCTAGCAGTGTTCCAGAATGCTGGCCCAGCTTTTTTTCTATCATTATCTAACTTTGCCCTTTTTAAATCTGAAGAATTTTCATTTGTTCCTTAGAAAATGATGATGCCATTTCCCAAACGAATCATCCGCCTGTATTTCTCTATCATTAGCACAATGGCTGCAAGTAAAGAAGTTCACATGCAGTCTCCATTCTAGGTTTAGTTTTGCACACCTGGAAGTGCAGGTTTTTCCCTTCCTGGCCAGTGAGATTTTACCCCAGGCCGTAGGAGAGGTTGCCAAGAGACAGAGGCTGACTGTTATGTAGAAGAAAATTCATACCCAGTCTTACAGTGTTGCATTTTTTAAAAATCTTAGAATAAAGTTTCCATGACTCTTGAGCATATTTTCAAAAAGCTTTGACATTGTGACATTTTGAGATTCATTAATTGTCCATCATGTATAAGTCTTAGTCTTGAGACGGAGATGGAGAGAGCTGCTATCAAGTTGGCTTCGACTCGTGGCCACCTTACGTACACCAGCACAGAAGCTGCCTGGTCCAGCGTCGTCTTGATGATTTCCACCATGTTGAAGTCCACCTCCCTAGCTGCTGTGCAGGTCCACCTCACCTACGGCTTCCCTTGCCCTCAGTGGCCCCCTCTACCTAACATGATGTCTTTGTCCAGGGACTAATCATCCTGATGATGGGGTTGCTGATGCTTTCTTGGGCTAATGTTTGGGAGTAGAACACTAGGCCTTATTTCCTACGCTGTTGGAGTCTGGAAGCTCCTGCCTACCATGGGCGAGCCTACTGGTATTTGAAATGCCAGTGGCGTAGCTTCCAGCAACGCAGCAACATACAGGCCTTCCCCATGTGACAACTGACAGACGAGTGGTGGTGAGCTGAATGCATCCTGCTGGGGATAGAAGTCTGAGCGGAATGGGACTGAATCAGTCAGTAACTGGATTCAAATGTAGTAATCTGGCCTGATGCTGCACTGGGCAGGTGTGGGTCTTTATCCCCAGAAACAATCAGAGAAGAGCCTGGGACTCAGAAACAACGCAATTTGTAAATTGCTGAGGTGTGAAGACTTCCACTGTCTGAGATGCTGACATTTGAAACTCACTGAAACTCTGGATTTAAATAAGCCTCATTCTCTTGTTTCCCGTTCTTTCTCCCCAAATTGCAGCAGACTAGTGGTGAGAGATGGGGCAGGGAAAAGGGGGGTCTGAGTTAAAGGGAATGCACATATAAACTAGATAGTGTGGACTGAATTGACCACCACAGTGGTATTAACAGTTTGGGACTGCCAGGACTGTGCCTGTTCCCCATTCTTGTCAGTATAATATAGTGTCAGGCTTTTTGATCTTTGCCAACTAGTTAAAAAAACCAAAAACTAATTACAGTACTAATTTACATTTCTCGTACGAGTGCCACGGAGTGTCTTTCTATTATTTTGAGCTATTTGTGTTTCCTTTTCTAGCAACTGTATGTACCCTTGGTAAACCTGTACATACACCAAGAGGCAGTTGTTCGAACAAATCAAGGGGATGGTTTTTAGGAAAGGTGTGCACCAGGGTTGTATTCTCTCACCATACGTATTCAGTTTGTATGCTGAGCAACAAATCCAAGAAGCTGGATTATATGAAGAAGAATGTAGCATCAGGATTAGAGGAAGACTCATTAGCAATTTGCGATGTGCTGATGATACAACCTTGCTTGCCGAAAGCGAAGAGGACTTAAAATACTTACTGATTAAGATCAAAGACCACAGCCTTCAGTGTGGGTTGCACCTCACAACGTAAAGAAAACAAAAATCCTAATATCAAGAAAAATGGAGAAAAGATTGAAGTTGTCAAAGACTTCATTTTGCTTGGATCAGCCATCAACACTCATGGAAGCAGCAGTCAAGAAATCATATGATGTATTGCATTAAGCAAATCTGCTGCACAAGAACTCTTTAAAGCGTTCAAGAGCAAAGATGTCAGTTTGAGGAGTAAGGCGCGCCTGACCTCTAAGCCATGGTATTTTCAATAGCCTCATGTGCCTGTGAAAGTTGGACAGTGAATAAGGAAGACCATAAAAGAAGTGATGCATTTGAGCTATGGTGTTGGAGAAGAATATTAAAAGTACCATGGACTGCTGGAAAAGCAAATAAATCTGTGTTTGAAGAAGTTCAGCCAGAATGTTCCCTGAAAGCTAGGATGATACTTGATACATATTATTAGGAGGGACCAGTCCCTGGAGGAGACCATGTTTGGTAAAATGGAGGGTCAGAGAAAAAGAGCAAGCTCCCCTATGAAATGGATTGGCCCAGTGGCAGCAGTGAGAGGCACAAATGTAGCAACGACTGTAGGTTGGCGCAGGACCGGACAGGGTTTTGTTCTGTTGTGCATAGGGTCGTTGTAAGTGGGTACCGACTCACCTAACAACCACAGTCACACCCTTTCCCCGTTTTTTATTAGGTGGGTGTTCTCATTGCTTTGTGGGAGCTCTTTGTTCAGGAAAACTAGCCTGTTTTACCAACTTGTCCATGTATTTTGTGTTTGCTTTTGTCTGCCATACACCCCAAAATTTTTTATGTAGTTAATTTTTATCAATTTTTTCGTAATGGCTTCTGCGTTTTGTATCATGTTTATCATGTGAAAAATCTTTCCATGTCAAGATTATATAACAATTTCTCCTTTCTCCCCTCTAATTATTTTGATATTTTTCTCCTTGTTTTGCTTTGTTTGTTTGTTTTAATAATATGTTACTGATCTGAATGTATTGATGTGTAAAGTCTGAGGTGGGAAAAATACCAAGGCACTTACTTAGCAAAATCAATACCTTATGCTGAATGAGCCATCTTTTCTGTCTTTGGTGTTTGCTCCCAGTCACTGGTTTGGAACTGAGAAAGGTTGAGTTGATCAAAGATTCAAATTTTAAAAGGCAAGTGTCAGAGAAAGCCGTACTGGTCGCTTGGGGTTTAGACCAGATGGAAGTGAAGGGAGAGCAGCCAGGTGCTGACAGCTGTGAGAATGTACAACAGCCTGGAGACCCGGGACCTGGCTGTGTCCGAGAGCAGATCAGATAGGAGGTAGGATGCTAGAGTGTACTACTTCCTGGGGAGCTGCTCTGAGCCTGGCAGTGGACTGCTGAAGTGAAATCCCCAAGATGATGACTTCAGTCTGGGATGGCAAGAAAGGTGTTCTTAGAGGAGGCTAGTCCAGTAATGATTTGAAACGGCAGTGGGAGCAAGGGTTTGCCTTCTTAGCACCTTCTGGTTAGTGGGGGATATGGGAATGAGTGTTTGAAAGAACCTCAGGGGAAAGAAAGCCAGGTGTCAGTTTTGTCTTTGTCTGTTAGGAAGGGAAAGAGCCTATGTGAGGAATTGCACAGACAGGTCTTGGCGCTCAGGATGTGTCAGGCACTTGTGGGCACTGGGGATGCACCTGGAATAGGTAGATGTGGGCCTTACCTTTATGTTGATCACAGACCTTCGTGGCAGTAAATGGGACCTGTAAGATTCCCACTGCAGCCCGACTGAGTCAGAACCTACAGTGTCATCCCCAGAAGATTCGAGTGCACCTTAAAGTTTGAGACACTCTGGTCTAGACTGGGTCAACAGACCCTGCCACTTATGGTTAGAGTTGACTGGGGCCCCCTGACTCCCAACCAGAGCCTGCAGCGCAGACAGGGTTTTGCTAAGGGGGGCAGTGTGCCGGGACCTGCCCTGGGTGGGGCGGAGCCTGGCCGGCCGAAACCAACGGGGAGGGGCGTGGTCTGCCAGCGTGGGGTGTGTCCGGCGGGGCGGGGCCTGGCTAGGCGTGACCCGGACGCAAACGGCGGGTTTCGCTCCTCGCGCCAGGGAAGCAGCCTCCGGCGGGCTTAGCTGCTGCGGCCTACCGTCTTTCCTCGCCTCTCGTCTTCCCGACGTCCCCGCCGACATCATGCTCCAGTTCCTGGTGAGTGGAGCTGCCTGCAGCAGGCCGGGGACTTGTCCAGTGCCCGCAGTCCAGGGGCACGAACCCTGGGTCACTTTGGGCTTCCCCGACCCTTCTAGTTCTCGCAGCCCAGCCCGGGGTGCAGCAAGGTGGGCGCTGAGGCTTTGTGTCATCCTCGTCCCGAATGCCTTCCCTTGCCGTCAGTCAAGCCCCTGAGATTTGGAGGCGTCAGAACATGTCCGCTGCCCTTTGTCTGCCCTGACCTCGCGGGAAGCGCAGGACAAACCTAAAATTAGCCTCCCCACCAGGCGCCGAGTCCCCACGTCAGAGTTTACTGAGCTTTGAGGCGGGGAGGGGCTCGCACTCCCGTAGTTTCCAGGCTGGAGGGGGGATGGGCTGGAAGGACGCTAAGCCTGATCCACAATTAGTTTTTCCACAAGGAGGGTTAGCATGAGTAAGCAGGTTGTTTCTTTCTCAAGGCTCATTGGTTTGCTGGCAAAACTCGGTGTGTTTCAGAGTTTGCCCATCAAACTGCCAAGTGAAAAGAGCCTTTCTGTCAAGTTTTTGTGAGCTGAAATCTTATCTCTTTCAACGTCTCCATCTCCGAAGAGGCAGATGGTGGAATGATCTTTTCAGTGGTTGGTGGAAATCTGAAAGAAAATGTGCCCTTCTGAAAGATGGTTGTGGCTTTTTAAACCATCTCTAGGCCCAAAGAGGGTGCCTTTATATGAACTGCTCACCCACAGCAGGGCTGCACCACCTCTACTTCTGGAAGTTTCTTCAGTGCCCTGTCTGGGTGTTAGCTTAGAAGCAACAGAAATACAGGTTGTTGTTGTTATGTGCCGACAAGTCGATACCGACCCATAGTGAGCCTGTAAGGGATTCCAAGGAGCAGCTGTTGAGCTTGAACCACCGACCTTGCAGTTCAAAAGATGTTGCAGTCCAAGGCAGTAACCCATAGCGCCACACCAGGACTCCTAGTTCCCGCTTCATGACTGGGTTCCTGTCCGACAAATTCATTGGGTTCTGATGGAAGTTGGTTCTGACATACTTTGAATACCTTTTACTTTTTTTAAGTTTTCGGGTTTTATTGCTTTAAAGTATTTGTTGTTAAGTGCCGTCCAATCAGTTCTAACTCAGCGCCGACCCTGTGGTTCACCTTGCGTTCCCAGTGCATTAGCCCCGCCAGGGAGCACACATTTGAGAATGATATTCTGCAACATTGTGGTTCATACATAGTACTGTACCCCAAGCCCCCCCTGACAGTTGTAAATGCAGTTGTTAAGACTCAATTACATGCTAAGTTAAGGACTGCCTGTAATGAGTGTCATTTGCTTGTAGGAAGCAGCATGGGTTGGTGCAGTGTGTAAGATAACACATTGATGTGTAAGCTGTAACACATTGATGAGTTGGGAGGCCACTGATTCAATGACATTGAACTTCAAAGTGCTTTTCTAGGGGGAGTGTATTTGGTTTGGGAATAAACATGAATTGTGTCGGATGAACATGGAGGTGACTGATTTGAGAAGTCAGGAGTTGTCAGGATGTCAGGAGAGCACAGCACTGGACTGCTGACCACAAAGTCAGAACTGACTCAACGGAACATAACAACAACAACAGCAAGGAGACATGTGGAAGCTGTTCCTGGTGTTCGTGGTTCCGACGGTCCTTGGCACACTCCCACTCCCTGGCCTCTGTTCTCCCATTTTTTCCTGACTTTGAATGAAGTGGAGTGGCTTCCCTGTCCCCATTAATTCCACCTCTGTCACTTATTGCCTGAACTTGGGCAGGGCTCGTGTCATTTGATCTACAAAGAGTGGGTATGGAGTGGCGATCCCAAAGTGTTCCTCTGGCTTTTAACCTCTAACCAGCTGGACTGCTGAATCCAACTCCTGGGCTTGAACTTGGTTGTTTCCACACGGTGGCAGGTTATTTGAAGTTCTGTCTGTTTTAGCTCTCACACCTGAAAATAGGAACCTGCTTCCTTCTGGCCTCGATCTGAGGATTACAAATGAGTAAACACAGTCCTGATGTGGCCCCTGTAGGGTAAGCACTGGATCACAAGGTCGGTGGTTCAAACTCACCAGCCGCTCCTCAGAAACCCTCTACAGGATCACTGTGAGCCAGAATAGCATCAATAACAACATAATAAAGGACGTAAACAGTGGCTCTCTGTCAGGACTCAGATCTGGGCAGGGCATTAGTTGGACTCTAATAGATTCCTTGACCTCAGCAGGGGAGGTGGTGGGAAAGCAAACAGTGACTCACTTACAAACTGCCCACACTGTCATCACACATTTCAGAAAAGAACCCTCTGAGACCTCCCTGAAGGAGCCCTGGTGGCACAGTGGTCAGGTGCTTGCTGACCTGTGAGCTGCAATGTCAGTGATTCAAACCCACCAGCTGTTCCTCAGAGACAGATGTGGCAGTCTGCTGTGGCGCAGGCGACAGCTCTGGAAACCCTCGGGGGCGGTTGTGCTCCCTGAACCAGAATTGCCGGGAGGGCAGTGGGTGCCGTGGCTTGGTGAGGCTCCCTGTCATTGTCATTCCTGCTGTCTCTGGTTATGTTGTTGTTCAGAGAGCTGGTTCATTGATCTTTCCTCCTGGATTAAAATAGTCACCCACCATCCCTGTCAGGAAGACCTGTTCCATGACCCTGCTGCCCCCTTTCTCCTCCCTTGGACCCCCGAATGACCTTCTGGTTGTCAGCCAAGGGCTTTAACCACTGCACCCCCAGGGCCCTTCCTTTGACCATAGTGGGGTGGCAGTACAGTGTCACTGGGATCATTTGAGGGAGAGCTGTGGGGCCTTTGGAGGAAGCCTGGTCTTGGTCTGTCTGCTGCCTGTTGGAGTTGTTCTTTTCCCTCCTTACTTCTTGAAGTCTGCAGCATTTGATCCTGGACCCCGCCTGTCTTCACCCCCCGTCCTTCAGAACTGCCCGCCGATTGTCACACGCACCCGGGGAATGACTTGCACAGAAGCAGCTGTACACCGTGATAGCGGAGGGCAGTACCTGGTGTCCCAGCAGGCCCCTGATCTGTCTAATCACTCCTGTTTTTACTGGTCTCTTTTCCTGCTTTTAGAAACCTTAGTGGCTGTGTAGGATAAACACTAGACTGTTAACCACCTGGTCAGCCGTTCAAACCCACCAGCCTGTTGTTGTGCAGGAGCAGAATGAGGTTGTGTACGTCCATAAAGATGTTGTGGTACTAGGTGCCGTCAAATCGATCCCAACTTAAAGCCACCCTATATAGACTTTCTGAAGAGTGACTGGTGGATTTGAACTGCTGACCTTTCAGCTCAAACTGACCTTGAGGTCCAGCACATCAGCCCACAGGGCCACACCAGGACTCCATTTCTAGCAAGAAATCCGTCTAAGTTAGGGTTTGGGTAGAAGCCCCCTGAACTTCATGAGGACCATCCCCCATACATCTCCATCTCCAGGGTAAGGCTGGACCTTGGCCAGAGGGGCAACGCGAGTCATCCCATTTGAACCTCAGCAGCAGGTCAGCAGGAGCAACAGCACTGAGCAAAACAAGCAAAGAGGTGACAGTGCTTTGACTTTAGGACGTTGGGCCACCAGGTGGAGGGTCTCTGTTACTGGGGGGAATGACCGGGACTTTCAGATCGGCCTTCCAGTGGGAAGCTTTTGGGGCTCCAGCCCCTACACTTTGGGGAGCTTTCCACAAATCCATGAACCTGCTTTCACTCAGAAAAAGAGCTGTGAGTGGGGTGACCTTTTTTTGCTCTGTCCCTCTGGTCACTGTGTTAGAGCCGTGTTCCCTACAGGCTTTGCGTGCCTGTCCTAGTAGACACCACAGATGGCAGGAACAGCAGCTGCTCTGTCACTTGGGTCAGAGTCCCGTCTCCTTTTAGTCCTTTTATGTTTTCGCTTTGGGGGTTTTATCTAGGGTAGGCTGCGCTGGCCTCCGTATTGGATACGTCACTCCATCCTCTAAGAGCCTCTGAGGTGTTTGATTTTGGATGCTGAGTGGGATAACAACAACCCAGTTGCTCCACAACCAAACCGAAACAAAACACAAAAGACCGAATTCAATAACAAAACTCAGAACTGTGGCCTGGGATTTTAGAACGTGTGGTCAGTTGTTCTAGGGCCTGTGAGAGGACAGGCTGCAGTCTAGGGCAGCTGTGTTTACTGCTGCCATTCTTACTTGGGGTTTACTACTCTTTACTGGTCTCTTAGCGAGCTTTTCCGTTCTTGTTTCACAGACGAAAACTGACCCACAATGTTCTTCAGAGCCCCACCCGACACCAAGGTCCTCTAGCTGCTCTGAGCTTCCAGTAAAGAGACTATGTAGTTTGGGAGGGGTCACATGGACACAGAACTAACTGTCTACAGTAACTCCCCCTCTTCTATTCTTTCAGCTTGGATTTACTTTTGGCAACCTCGTTGGAATGTATCTGGCACAGAACTACGACGTAAGTGGCCTTCTCCTTGACCCTATATAACTCTTTTATGGTGACTTGCCCTTGTTGCCTTTTATCCCAAAAGAAAGTCCATGGATGTCACGGAAAAGTCCTGAACTTTGTAGGTTTTCACTTGTTTAAAAATATGTATGGTAAATCCACAGAAGCGTCTTTCCTCCCTATCGCCACTAGGGGGCAAGATGCCCCCAGTTTCGATGGTTTTAGGATGAGCCTAAGCTGGGTTTGTTGACCCAGAATAATAGTAACGTAGTCTTAGAGCTGTTTGGAAGTTCAGGTGGTGAAGGAGAATTTATGAATGAGCTGGATAATCATTACAGCCCCGCTGCCCACTAGTTGAGCTCATGGAGGATTCTGAAGGTGGATCCAGAGTAGTGTAGTTTGTGCAGGACTGACACTTTTGTGAAGTGGGCCTTGTAGTAGCCTCGCTTTTAGAAGGGGACTGTGAAGCCAGGTGGTGCTTGTTGAAAGGAACAAGGAAGTGAAAGTGTTCATTTGTGATTTGTTTCACAGAAGCTTTTACTGGAATTCTCTTTGGCAGCCGTCACCTGGCCCAAATGGCTTTGTTGTTGTTGTTGTTAGGTGCCATCGAGTCAGTACCGACTCATAGTGACCCTGTGCACAACAGAACGAAACACTGCCCGATCCTGGGCCAACCTCACAATTGTTGCCACACTTGATGGCTTTAGGCAGGGTTTATCCATGCACATTAATTCCACTCACCATTCAGCTGTGCAGCTCTGACCTAGCACTGGGCTGAGCTAAGTGAAACATAAAAGCAGAAGTCAGGTTCTGCATTCTTAGGGAGGGAGAGACTAACAGTTCCAGCTCCCCCCCAGTGTCCTTAAGATGCAGCCTCAGACTCAGAAGTACCACGTTCAAAGAAAGAGAACAACTTGTAAAGCCATTTCTCTCTGGAGGAAGACAAGTAGAACAACACAGGTAGTCCCCGATTTAGGATGAATTTGAGTTACGGTCAACTGCGTAGTATTTTCGTACATCTTGTACATCACCATGTGGTGTGGTGCTGTAGGATTAAGCACTGGATTGCTAACCATAAAGTCAGTCGTTCAAACTTAACAGCCAGTCCTCAGAAACCCTATATAGGGTCCCTGTGAGTTGGAACTGACTTCGATGGCACTTCACATACACAGGTACTGCATACCATATTGAAGTGTGTAATTTGCTATGGTATCATTCTCAAATGGTCAGTGTGATGACTTACTGGTCACAACACTAGCCAGGTCTACAGTGGTGTTGGTGTCAAGAATTGTGTGAACTTCAGTGACATATTACAGGTGAACTGCGTATACCCCCCATAGCTGTTAGAACTCTTGACTTGGTTATTAGGTCACTGACACTGACAAAGATCAGATTGGTGAAGAGACTGATAATAAAAGGAAAGGGGGAGGGGAGGTAACACTTCTGCCAGTGTTACCAGGTAGATGCAAAATTATCATAATCCTTTTTTTCTTTTTAAAGATACCAAACTTGGCCAAAAAGCTGGAAGAAATCAAGAAGGACCTGGATGCCAAGAAGAAGCCGCCTAGCTCCTAAGGTGACTGCAGTTGCCCAGGATACATTGACCGGACTGCTCTCAAGGGCCACCGCACCTGCAAACCAAATGCTCCGGTTTTCATCACAGCCAACACAGCATTTCTCTGGGCTACACCCTGAGTTGCTTTAGGGCAGGGGTGGGGAAGGTCTGGCCCACAGGCCATATAAGGCCCTTGAGATCATTTGGTCTGGCTATGCCAAGGCAACTGCAGGCAGGGCTGGAAATTCAATAAATATAGGAGCTTTTTTTCATAGCAAATTTATATTAAGTGGATCATAATAATATGTAAATTTTGAGGGACAAGCATTTCAAATGTCCTTTTCAGGTTAGACAGAACACATACGAGTACATGACGAGACAGAAACATACGCTTCTCGTCGGCTCACTTTGACACAGACAGTGTGCACTGTGGCGATCCGGTAATGACACTAGATGTGATGAGATGATTCCTCGTGACGTTGATGACCTGGCATATTACAACAATGTTGTCGACTTCTTTGTTGACACAAACGATGACTCCAATACAGTCTTCATCCACATGTCCATGATCAGCAATCCTCGCAAAAACTGAATCTCTGATGAAGATGAAGGAAATTACAATACACAGAAAAGAACCCAAGAGTCGATGATAAGAACATTGGATATGTTCCAAATCCAAGATGCAGAATTAGCATAGCGATCAAAGCTAAAGAATCACAAGGCATTGTGGAGAGTTGTTAAAGCTCCAGTGCTGTGGCATCCTACAGATGGAGACGACAAAGAAGAGAAAAGTGGATGCAGAGTGTCAGGCTTTCCAAGAGAAATGGACAAACGATTATTTTTTTGTTGAAGTCAAAGGCAAACCTGTGTGCTTAGTTTGTGGTGATGTGTTAGAAGTGATGAAGAAAGCCAATCTGGAGAGTCATTACAGTTCCAAGCATGCTAACCTCAATGAATTGGGAGGCCAGCTGCGTCAGGATAAAATCAGTGCTCTGCAGCGGAGTTTGGAATCACAACAGACCGCTTTCACTAGGCCTCGTTGTGACAGAGAGAACGTTATTCAGACGAGTTACATCGTGAGCCAGCTAATTGGGAAGAAGCAGAGGCCTCATGTAGAGGGAGAGTTTGTGAAGGAGTGCATGGTGGCTGCTGCAGAGCTGTTAGCACCCGACAAAGTGAAGTTGTTTCAGAGTGTTAGTTTGTCTCGGAGAACCGTCTCAGATCGGATTACTGACTTAGCGCAAGATATTGAAAAAACATTGAAGGATTCTGCAGGAGATTTCCAGTTTTTCTCTCTGGCTTGTGACAAGACAACAGACATAACCAATACTGCCCAGCTGGCCGTTTTCGTTCGTGGGATAACTGCAGAGTTTGACACACGAGAGGAGCTGCTGTCACTGGAAGCCATGCATGGCACAACAAGAGGGGAGGACTTGTTTGAGAGGCTTGTTTTATCAATGAAAAAACTTGAGCTAACATTTGAAAAGCTAAGTGGCCTTATTACAGATGGAGCTCCAGCCATGGTTGACTTGCAAAAAGGGTTAATTGCATTTGTCAAGAAAGAACTGAATCGTCTGAGTCTTGATCCAAATGATTTAATTATATGCAACTGCATCTTACACCAAGAAAGTCTCTGTGCACAGTCATTGCGGCTTAATAATGTGATGTCAACAGTAGTGTCGTGCATAAATTTTGTCAAAAGCAGAGGGTTTAACAGCTGCCAGTTTAAGGAGTTACTGAATGATCTTGACTCTGAGTACGGTGATCTTGCTGACCACTGTGAAGTGCGGTGGCTGAGTCGTGGGAACATGCTCGTGAGGTTTTATGAACTACGCGATGAAGTCAAACAGTTCATGGAGATGAAGGGGAAACCTGTCAGGGAACTTGAGGACAGCACATGGCTATGTGATCTGGCGTTCATGGTGGACATCACCAAGTACCTCTCAGAGCTGAACACCAGGCTGCAGGGCCCCAACCAGCTTGTCAGCTCCCTGCTTTCCAACGTGAAATCATTTGAAGCTAAGCTAAGGCTGTGGAAAGTGCAACTCGAAAGAAATAACACCGTGCATTTCCCCACTCTGGAAGGGCAAAAGCCGCCTACGACACTTGAATATGCTGATGAGTGTGCGAAACTAATTGAGGCATTTAATGAAAGATTCAAGGACATGAAAAGTAAACAAATGGAACTGAACATATTTGCTACGCCGTTCAATGTGGAACCAGCTGATATGCCTGGTCACCTACAACATGAGCTCATTCAGCTGCAAAGCAATGATGAGCTGAGAGCTAGGTACAATAACCTCCCACTGCTGGAGTTCTATAAACGTTACATAAGCCATGATGAATTTCCCACTTTGAGGAGACATGCGTTGAAATATGCATCTGTGTTCGGAACAACTTACTGCTGCGAGCAGTTCTTTTCAAAACTTAACATCGCGAAGAGTCGACTGCGCTCCAGATTGACCGACGCAAACCTGGAAAAGCAGTTGCGAGTAGCAACATCATCAATACCAGCCAACATCACACGCCTCATCGAAGAGAAGCAGTTCCAGCCATCACATTAGGGATGACTGAATTAAATGTTGGACCAAATATAGCAGGCAAAATTTCCACATTGAAAAATATTGAATAAAGAATGATGCTATAAATATTCAAACTGCCCCTAGCAGAAAAAAGGTTCCCCACCCCTGCCTTAGAGCAAAAATGGGGCACCACTTAATGAGCTCCCGTGCAGTCTCCACATCTTCTCTTCTTCCACCTTCTTTTAGCTGCTTGGGAGATCCTGAGACTGGATTTTGGTGCTGGCTCAGTAAACATGACCTTCACTTCATAGTCTCCTCGTTCTTGGGATTCTACTGCCTTTTTTTCAAAAGAAAACTTGAGTTTTGTGTAGCTGGTCCGATATAAGTAATGCTAGCTTCACAGTTGGAGCAGTTATAATAGGTGCTTGGTAATCATTTAATAAAAGTTTCAAAGTTTTTAAAACCTGGAAACCAGTTTTGAGTGAATGACCCATTTTTTATACTGTGGTTTGGCAGTGCCATGATTGATCATTTAACCAATAAGTCAGTTTGCTGTTCACTAACTGAGGAACTTTCTGAACGCCCGTCTAGGAACCGGGGACTTGAGCACCTGGAGGTCAGAGCGTCTGGTCCTCAGTCACGTCCTGGCTGTTGACTGCACTGAGGAATTGGACGAGCTCTTCCCCCTCTGGAGAACTGTGCTCATTGAAGGGGCTACAAGTGCAGCTGACAATGGCTTGATGAGAAAATGAGAAGGTGTCTGTAAAGGGCAGTTTTGGCCTGGACATGTTTTTAAAATGTAAGCTTTACATTGTAACGAGAGAGAATCCCACCCCGCCAGAAGGAAGAGTTCTGCTTCTCTGCATGCCCGGTGATTTTCTTCCCTCCAGTCAGAAATGACCCTTGCAGTTTGTCAAATGTGTAATCCGTCTGTATCTTCTATAAATAAATTTTTTAAATGTTTGCCTAGGCTGTTTCCAGGAGTCAGATCACAGAAGTGGCTTCATGGATGTTAGCCCTCCCCCCCGCCCTAAGCTTCCAGTGTCTCTCCTTGGAGGTGATCCCCATAGCAGCTTCCTGTGTTTTCTAGAAACATTCTGTGGGTACACACATACACGGGTGTGTGCGTGGGTGTTTTTACACAAGTGGCATAACTGGACATTGACGTCTGCCCCGTGCCGCCGCCTTCCTTTTGTTTTCATTGGCACTCTGTCCATATTATGATACAAGGAAAGGACACATGGACATAGCCTGCTTAAGTCATCTGCTACAGAGGCACCTTTAGCTGGTGTTCTATCTGTGGCTGTTGGTGGGACAACCTTGACCCTGAGGTCATGGCCCTTATCTATGCAGGTCATAGCTCTATAGGACAAAGATGGAGAAGAGCAGTTTGTACCAATAAGCGAACTTTTCATTTCACTGGGCATTCTGTTTCCCGGGACTTGCTGGGCAGCTTTGCTGATGATTCCTTTTTAAAAGATACTTGGGCAGCAGAGCAGCAGCAAGCTGGGAACATTATTTAGAGAAACCTTGTTTCTGACAGTGGTGTCATGGAGACTGTATGCAATTGTAAACGGCCTGCTTCATTTTGAAGATCCGTCTGCCACATCTCAGACATAGAGAGCAGCTTTATCCCTGGGGGTGAGGGGGTGGGGAGAGACACCCTGGCTTGAGACAGACAGCGTTGCTATGGTTTGGCTGCACCCCAGCTGTGGTCTTGGGCATTCAGCTCATTGCTGTGTACGCTGTGGGCATCATACCTGTGTCTCAAGACGTTCATGAGAAACACCTGAGATACATGTGCCACATTGCCCAAGGCTTTGTCTCTTGGCCAACAAATGGCAGTGATCCATCTACAGAGGCTGCTGTTGTATATCTGCACTTGATTTTGGAAGAAGCTTGTGAGCCATGCAGAATTCATTCTGTAGTTATGCTTGGTCGTGAGGAACACCTGAGCCTTATACCGCCTGACTCAGGAGATTTGACCTGGAATGACTAAACTGTCAGCAGAGTGAACTAGTCGCCTGTGATGAAGGGTATTCATAATCTGCCTGGAACTCAGGAAGCCTTTTCCAAAGAAACTGCTTAGTATCAGCCATGGCCGCGTCTTAGCATGTGGCTGTGGTGGCTGCTCTCGGTATGGAGGCATTTAGATGCTGGAAGACCAGGTGCCTAGATAGTCTTAGTTGTGAGCTAATCTCATTTGGACTTGGACCTTGAAACTAACTGGCTAATGGGATCAACTCCTTGTTGGCGGGAGAGAAGCCGCTCACCAGGTCTGTATGATGGGACGCGGATCTCCTACTTAGATACCCTCTCCAAGGCTCATATCCTCGTCCTAGCTAGTGCTGCTGTAACAAATACCACAGGTGGACAGCTTTAACCATTTATTTTCTCAGGGTGCAAGTCCAAATTCTGGGTCCTGGCTCTAGGGGAATGCTGTCTCGCTCACTGTGGGCTCTGGAGGAAAGTCTGTCGTTGGGAGTGTCTGCTCCTGA